TATATGTATTTGACATATCAAATCATCATGTTGTATATACTTTAGTTTAGAATTTTATGTGTCAATTATACCTCAAGCTAAAAAAAAAAAAAGACAGAAAAAGAAAGTGAAAAGCAGGTTCTAAACTCATGTGATGAGGTAGAATGACAGTATTAAGACAATGAGGTTTGGAGCATGACCACCTGGGTTAAATTGGACTCCACCAACAATTAGCTGTGTGCTCTCAGGGGTTACTGAATCTCTGTGTGCTTCAGCTTCTAGTCTGTTAAATGAGTATGAAACCAGTAACCACCTCATTGGGCTCTTGTGAAGATGCAGTGAGATACCACAAAGAGGTCAAGTGTCCTTGGCACAGGGTAACACTCAACAAATGCTCACTATTATTAATCATCTGTTATATTTGACATAATTGGCATAAATTACATATTTTTCCTAGATGGCACCATTGTGGATTTTTATTTTCTTCTTTGTACCTTGCCATATTTTCCAAACTGAGAATGAGAGGTATATGATACTTTTACAGAATAAAAATATAGTAAAATAATAATTTTATGGAATAAAAAAAAAAATCAACAGAGAACATCTGGAAGCTCTTGGCGGAGTGCCTGGCACACAATAGTTCTTCCAGCCACTTGTTGGCATGGCATCATTAGTTGTCCTAGCCAGCGAATGTCAAATTAGTAACTCACATCCAAGGCTGCTGAGAGCTGCCTGCCCTTACTGCTGGCTTCCTCAGGGCACTGCCTCACCCACATCCTTCCATTGCCATGCGCAGATTCTTCCCCAGTCCCCCCTCACTGGAATAATTCCACCTTAGTCACCCGCCAGTGGCCACCTCGGCACATGCTGAGTGAGATCACATCCTGCATAAATGCTGTCTGATTCAATCTTACATGATAATTTGAACAAAAACATCCTATAAAAGTCAGCAGCTTATTGTTCTACACACCATACATATTCCAATTTTTCAAAGAATGATTTCTAACTTTTAATTCTGCACCATCACTGTAATGAAACACTGTTTATTCTCAAGGCTTCCACTACGTTAGGTCATCATGGTAGGTTTCCCAAGCTGTAGAAGAGTCGCATAACGGACACCGAATTATAGCGAAGTTAAAAAGCAACATTTTTTAAAAGCTCAGTTTTGTTTTAGACCTAATATAATATTCAGCTTCCAAAGTTAGTTTTCGGGACAAGAACCATATGGTTTCACTCATGTATGGGATATAAAACAAAAAGCAACAGACAAAACAAACTAACTCAGACACAGACAACAGAATGGTGGTTACTAGAGGGAAAGGGGGGTGGGGTGGGATGAAGAGGGTAAAGGGGGTCAAATACAAGGTGCCAGACTAGACAATCAGTGATTAGTCTACGCAATATACAGATGACATATAATAAAACTATACACCTGAAACTTACATACTGTAAACCGTTACCCCCCCAAATTTAAGTTCTGGAAACAGACTAATGTGAGAACAGCCAACTTCAAAACAGTATGCCTTGTGTTTTATTGTCATTTTACTTTTAATCCTCAGCCCCTAAACCTAACGACAGTAGGGTTCCAGTCTGAAGAGAACACAAATACACTCAAATACCTTCTGGTTACATCGATAGCTCTATTGTCAAGATTACTGCTCCAGATCAGCAGTTCCCATTGATCCCGACCAGGAGTCTCAGGGTCACCTGGGCACTGGGCTGAGAAATGCAAATTTTTGCCTCCCACCCTGACCTACTGAATCCAAACTCTGAGACTGGGACCCAGAAATCTGGTTTTTAACTAGTCTTCCTGGTGATTCGGATGCAGATGAAAGGTTTGAAAAAAAGTCACTAGAAACACGAACCCAATTAAAATCACTGAACTGTTCAAGTGCTAGGAGTCTGAGGAGTAAGTTCCCTTAGGCAGAAAATGACCCTTAAATACAAGCTTCATCTTGCTCCGGAAAGCCTGAAGCTGTGGTGATCTGTCGATTTCTTTGCTGAGTGAAGAGTGAAGAGAAACATCCTTGAGAAGCAAACAATCCATGAACCTAGAGCAGAGGGGAGGGTTTGAAATGTCATCGCACAAGCTCAAGCTGACGACAGAGTCAGCAGCCTCTTGATGGAATTAGACAGTATACTGAAATTAAGAATTGGATCCCTAGGTCTGCTTCGATGGAAAACTTCTGGGAAAGTCACAACATCAGTGCGCCATTAGCAAAAGTGCACTTTTTAAAATCCCTGTATTAACACTCCACAGCTTTGGAGCCAGTTACTACATCCCTGTCGCAGATTCTTAAAATAATTAACCCATTAAATATCCCATCTTTCAGCTATTGTGAGGATTATTATACTTTGTCAAACACTTCCCTATCGCCTGGTAAATAACAGAAACTTAATAAATGTTAATGATCATATTGATGAAATATTTTGTCACGTTTCTAAGAGGTAGAAATTTAGTTACAAAAAAGGCATTACAGAAACCCATCATACTAGAACTTTGATTTTTAACCAATGAACTTCAATTCCATGGATGAGGTACACAGCAAAAACCTACATTCAAGGTATAAGACTGAATGATGAGAAGACCCTTAAATAGGTGTAGGATAAATCTACTACAAAGAACAGAGAAAACAATTATTTGCATAAATTGTTATAAATTCGTGAACACAAACCTATCTACACTTACAATATTGCACAGACTGGGAAGCGTGAGAGGTGCAAATGTTTCAGATAAAGCGAAGAGGAACTTTGGCTATAGCTTGGAAAACATTGTAACACATGCAGGACTTGTGGTAAACCTGGATTTTGTTCCACTTCCTGTGAGGCCATGGGGAGTTTTCCTGAGCCTTGGTTGCTTAATTAAGGATAATGACCATTATCTCTTATTTTTATATGGGAAACTGCCTAGCATGGCTCTTGGCAGGTACTGGATGGAGATTAATGTCTAGTTTTATCTGAATTTATTGAACCCTCACTTGTAATCCATATTCAAGGCAAGAGGCATACAAACGTTTGGCTTACCGGGGTTTCAGTAATCCTGATTCCCACCCCTTGGAGGAGTGCTAATTCGGTTACTTCCTAAACTCACAGCTTAAAAAGAAATCTCCCACTCATGCCCCCTCCATCCACAATCCTGCTTCACATACCCACTTCTGAGCCTCAGGACCCCAAAAGGCAGGCACAATAATCTCATCGTTCTCCTTTCGAGTGGAGACTCTCATAAAGAATTCTCCAAGATTCCAAACCCCCTGAGCAGAGGGACTAGTTCTAGAGGGCCTCTTCCAGGACCAAACTAGTGTCTCAGCCAAAAGCAAATGAAAGTGCTTTCCTCAGACTCAAGATAATCCTTGAAATGATATGGAAGATCTAGCCCTAGACCCCCAGAAAATCCCATTAGAGACAGACTATCAGAAGCCTGGGAACCTATAAAGCATGCAGGGAGAAAATGCACAGGAAAAAACATGATTATTTCTTTACCTCAGAATCCTTTCAAAAGTGGCCCCTCTACTTTGTGAACACACAGCCACCCAGGTAGAGGACACATTTCCCATCTGGGAAGGGACTAAGTACTGGCCAATTGACTGGGAAGGGGAGGGATGAACAAATTCCTAGTCATCTGCTGGAAAGCACATTCCATGCCCTGGCTTCCTCTCTTTCCCCAACGCTGGCTGGATGGGAATGGGGACAACGAAGCCTCAGTGGAAGCACAGAGCTGCGCCACTGGCCTGGGTCTCTGGGTTTTATGTGGGAGAGACACAAACCTTCCTGGTCTCTAAGCCACTCCATAGCTGGGTCTCTGTTTCGGTAACTTAACCTCTACCCTATTATTAAAGAAAATAGGGAAGTAAGCCAGGGAAGGAGACAGAACAGAAAAGGTAAACATTATGTTAATAAGCCATCAGAGTCTGTAGTATAGAAACCTGCTTCATTATACAAGGATGAGAGAAATCAGCTTTAGTAATTAGGGCCTTGCCATTCACTTAATGAGAAGAGAAAATATTTAACAAACTCTGTACATAAACAAGTATGATTCTGGCAAAAAGCAAACAAAATAATGTTGTTAAATGTATTAAAAATAAGGTCTGGATAACAAATGAAAAATATTTTTTAAGACAAACTGCCAGCAGCTCACTGGATCATAAGAAAGTAAGAAAATTAAAAAACACTTAGATGCTATTTTTAAATAGCCAGGAAACTTGGCTTAAAATTAATACTCATTAAATTTTTCTAAAATATAACCGTAAACAATAGGTATATAAAGAATGAGCAGTGTAGTCTTCAGGAGGAAACATGCACAGCAACTTATTAAAAGCCCAGGGTTAGATTTCATCTAATCAAATTGTAAAAGCTTGTCCACAAAGACCAGACCAGACTAATGACAGAGAGCAATGGCTGGAGCTTCAGGGGAAGCCTTAACGAGGAGAATGAGGCTAAGTGCTGGGTGTGGTTGGCTTAAGTACAGTAAATTAATATAATAGATCAAATAAGTACTAATGAAGACAAAACCAGCTGACAGACTACCTTTCTTTCACAAGTTAATAAACTCTGCAGCTCTGTGAACATCAGTCTTAACACTAAACCCAAGTCACCTCCATTTCTTAAAACATGAAGCTTGTGAAGGGAGAGTATAGATTTGAAAAGGCTAAGCCTTTTCTTTTTCCCAATGAATCACCAAGAAAAAGCAGAGCTTTACTCTGTGACCTCTAACTACAAGTGTATCCTAACAAGAATGAATTTGGACCAAGTTATTTTAGCTTTCCAAATAACAGTTATTAATATACCTTCAATTTACCCACAATTCCTAGTCTTGAGCTTCCAGTAACTCACAAGGGTTGATTAGATTCTAGTGTAGTGGCAGCCCATGACCAAACATATTTACAACATCAGAAGTCCATTTTAAAACTCTCTACAAGTATTTGAGCTTTGCTTACAAAATCCACATCAATGAACCCAAGGTGTTGATAAAAATAATTAAGAATGAAAAGGAAAACCACTTATTGGTACTAAAGCCTTTACTGTAATAAACCAAATATATTTACAATTTATACAAATGTTTAACCTTCAACAAAAATACAAAAAAAAAAAAACATTTCACAAGATGCAAAACCAGGAAACAAGTTCATTGGAGACACCACTGCGCTACCAAGGACAGAACGTGAGGGGGACCGCAAGGAACAGAAAGGTACTCTGGGCAGGTGACACGGAAAGAAAAGCACGGGCTCTGCCCGGGCCCGCAGGCTCTGCTCCTCCAGCCTGCAGTCCTCGGCCCCTCCGTCCACCTTGCCTCGGTGCTCCATTTGGTCTAGGTAGATAGGTGACCTTCTGCTGATGGACTCATCACCTCCTCTTTGCAGACTCAATGTAGTTTTGTGTCAAGGTTTAAAAACAGGTTTTCTTGTTTTTAAAGTTACAACTTTTCTATTTCTACAAATTCAAAACATTTTGGCCCAATTCAACTATAAACATTAAAACACAATGTTTTCAGTAGATGACTTCATAGACTGTAGCCTTCTTGTCCCCTGAGCCAGTGACTATGTACTTATCATCCACAGAGATGTCACAGCTGAGCACAGATGAGGACTCTTTGGACTGGAAGAGAAGAAATTGGGGGCATGATTAGCATGGAACAGAGCTACTCAGGGGCCCTGCTCCCTCCAACGCACCTTCACTCTGGTGTCACTAGAACACCGTGGTCAAGCTTCCTTCTCAATAGAGAACACTGACTTACCTGGAATATGCTAGCTCCGTAGGGGGTCCGCCAAGCATTGAGGAGGTTATCTTTTCCAGTACTCACAAACCATTTACCTAGAATTAGCAAAGGAAAATGTAGTTTAACAAGATTAAAACCCCTACTCTACTATTAGCTATGTGGACCTAATCAAACTTAGAACATTTTCAGTCATGAACTATTGTCCAAGGGTTAGGCTATGACATGAGTAGTAAAAGCAGGTTTTAAATCCAGGCTCTGCTGTGAACCATCTGTGATTTGGGGTTCACTCAAAGCAGAGTCAGGGACCATGCCAGCCCCCTTAGCCACGACAGGTAGCAGCACACCCTGGACACAGTGGGTCTTCAAACAGTGCATCAGTGAAATTGCTCTCCCTGTTAGTCTCCCCATGACAAAATGGGACCAGGAAAGATTAAATGACAAACTTAAGTGACATGCCAGGCATGATACTATGGCACACAGAGTGTGGTCAGTAACTGATAACTACTCATCCACCCAGCATCAACGTCGTGAACAAACATTTGACTCCATGTAAATTTCTTCCTTCTTTAGCCTCACTGCAGAGTGTAACAGTCAGGTTCAGCGACACATTCCATACTCTGACTGTGGGCTCCTTATCCCCGGTCGGTCCCCAAGGACTTCCTTCGCTCCCGCCCAATCTTCAATAAATCTCCACCACCCCTCTTAAACTAATCGTGTCCCACCCCCCACCCCGGACTCCCCGTAATAAAAACAAATGTGTCAAAACTTTGTATGAGGCAATTTCTCCACATGCTGACTTTTCTCAAATTAGGAAAACAGACCGAAACAGACATCACTGTGCTCTGAGGGACATATTAAGACAAGAGAATTATTGCATCCAGCTGCTCAGAGAACAATTTTTTCCAGATACAATCTCTACTATATTTTTTTAGAAGTCTTTTCCATTTAGGCCATCAGTGTCCTCGGGATTCCTTTCAGCCGAACTCACCACAATAAGCAAATTTGAGGGACAGCACGCAGCTCTCGTGCAGATGCAGCTGGTACTTGTCGGGCTTGTTCACGTGGAGAACTTCCACGTTGCTGCTCTCCATGCCCACAGCCAGCCACTCCCCGGTTGGGCAGTACCCAAGGGAGAATATCTGCAAGAAGCAGAACAGACTTGCTAATGATTTTGCCTAGTAAATTTAGGAAGGCAAAAGGCAACAAGAAAGGGGTAAGAAAATAGCAAGAACAGGAGGATGGAATCAGCAAACTCCAGACTGTGGTCAAGTCTACAGGACAAGCCACCCAAGCCAGATGAGCCCAGGGTTAAAAATCTTTATCAGACAACTAGAAATACTAGAACACATATATGTGATGAAATTGAGAAATTTTTCTTAATATAATGATATTCATGTGTTTTGTTTTAAAGGGATCCCTGTCTTTTACAGAAACTAACTGAAATACTTACGGCTGAAATGGCAGAATGTCTGGAATGTACTATCAAATAGTCTGGTGTTTGGGGGCAGGAATGATAGATGAGACTAGACTGGCCACATGTTACTGTTAAAAGCTGGGTGACAGGCATGCGAGGTTCACTGTACGACCCCCTGTGCTTTCATATATGTCTGAACGTTCTCTGTACTCCTGTATACACTTGAAAATTTCTGTAAGAAGTTTCATTTTTAAAAAAGGCAGACCAAAAATAGTATTCTACTCACACTGGGAAAAGGGTTAAAACAAAGAAGACTATAAGAAACTCAACAAAATTTTAATAGGGATATGAAATTTAGTAGTACGTATAGTTGTTTTCCATTTTTGTCCTATTTTTTCCTGAGTGGAATTATTTCTATTACAAACAAATAAGTAAACAAGTAGTGATGAAAAGAACTCTGACATCAGAAAGCATTTAAAATGGCAACTGTTCCCAAAATACATCTAGACTCAGATGCTCGTCATCTAAATAATCTTCTAATTCACAAAGTTGAGATTTTTATATCATTTCAAAACTCCATAAATTTAGTCAGCCATGAGTCCATTTTCTAAAGGATGAGTAATAAAACGGGCATCCACTGAGATGCTGCTGCATTTTTTTATGCTCCCTGATGCAAGAAAAATGAATTAACTTTCAGAGCTGTTGTGATTTTTCTCTACTCCTTGTGTTATGCCTGCATGTTTTTCAAGCTCTGTTTATGAGTCAAATAATCACTTCTCACTCCCACATTAGATGGGGAGAATAAGCAAAACAGACCCAACACTGCAAAAGGAAAACCACATATTCCTGATGGCACAGATTCCTTAAACAAACTCACATATGAATATGAGCTTAACATGGCTTAACCTAGAGGAGTTTAGACACCACTCTAAGTGTTTGAAGGATTTTTTTTGTTTGTCTGTTTGGGGTTTAAAAAAAAAATTAGTATCTCAAATTTAAGCCTGGTTTGTTTGTATAGCTACCACTATTGTGGGGTAACAAGATTAAAACCCCTACTCTACTATTAGCTATGTGGACCTAATCAAACTTAGAACATTTTCAGTCATGAACTATTGTCCAAGGGTTAGGCTATGACATGAGTAGTAAAAGCAGGTTTTAAATCCAGGCTCTGCTGTGAACCACCTGTGATTTGGGGTTTACTCAAGGCAGAGTCAGGGACCATGCCAGCCCCCTTAGCCACGACAGGTAGCAGCACACCCTGGACACAGTGGGTCTTCAAACAGTGCATCAGTGAAATTGCATGGAGAGGATGCTACGCACGCACGCACGCACGCACGCACGCACACACCACACACCACCTCATTGACTCCGGGTAGGAAGAAGCCAGGCACCTGCGACGTGAAGTCGTGCTGCTGCAGCTGCCGCCCTTCACGCAGGTCCCAGGATCTGACTGTGTTGTCCAAGCCGCCCGTCCAGAGCTTGGTGCCATCATTAGAAATGTCAATACAGCTGGCCCCATCTGTGTGGCCCTGGAATTGCCTGATAAAACAAACCAGATTGAATAATGATTTCCTGCCAGAGCTCAAGGTAAACACTGTTGTGTTGTTAGTTTTGGACTCGGGGTGTGTGTGTCAGTGTCTGCTGATGTGCAAGATCAAACTAACCTTCCCCTGAGGAGGAAGACAGCGCACCTGCATTTTCTCTTTCTTTTTTCATGATCCAAGTGCTAAAGAAATAGAATGCCATCTTAGGTCACTACACAGGAGTTAAATACGCTCCTATAGCTGGTTTTACAAACCCGTCTGGAAGGTAAAATTTCTCCTAGATCTGGAAAAGTGTTGAAGTGTTACGAGAAAATAAAAAAAGACAAACACACAAAATCCTCACTATATTCCTTAAAGAAAAATGAAGGCCCAGCCTTTAATCCTGCGGGCCTGTATCACCACATTACAAACTTGGGATCCAGAAGCACTCGTGTTTCCATGAGTGAGTCACACAGTGGCGGCCTTCGTGCCCGCAGCACAAGCTCACACAGGTACTCAACCTTGCCTTCTGTGTTAGAAGGAGCCCTGCATTCGACAATCTGGACTCCCAGGACAGAGAGCTGTGCCCACCTCCTGACTCAAAGATGTTGAGTACAGACAAAGCTAACTGCTGAGGCCAACCCATGGCACCTCAGCAAGACCCTGCCTCGAAGCCGAACAGAAGTTTGTTCTCTTAAAGGGAAACCTCAAGCTTCAGTCACAAACTGCCATGGAGAACAATCAACCAAAAGCGATCTTCTGAGCACAGACTTTCTGCCAGGCAACAGGAGGATCTGCTGAGGAGAGGGATCAGTGTAAGACATGCAGGGCTGGTGGTCTGGGGGCTCTGGACCTGGTTCGGCCTGCCAAGAGGGAGCTAGCAGGAGAGTGACTAGAACAGGTGAGAGATGACAGGTGAGAGATGTTCTGAGACCCCATCACTGATAACAGGCAAGGCCCGTTAGAGAACTACTTGGGAATTTCAACACCACGAGGAAAGTTTCAATGACTGTCCTCCCTGTTACCTTAGTATTCCCACAGATCTCCATATTTCAAGCTGAGCTTGGAATTTAGTGAGTGTGTAAGAGAAGAAAAAAGCACCACGGTTGTCCTCACTTCAAAAGTCTCTCCTCTGGAAGCTATCCTGAACTTCTGTCTTAGTCTTCCCCCACCCCCCACACCCCAATTCTTGCAAACTCTGTCACCACGCCCGTGCACCTCAACCACCTGTGTGCCTCCCAGACTCCCCCACGGGCCCCAGAGGCCTAGCGCAGGCCCTGCTTCAGCTGCTGAAAGTGCCGCTTTTCTTTCCTCCAAATGCTCTTGAAACCCATGAACAACCTCTCCACTTTACCCTCTGACTTTGTTTTACTTCTAGAACATGAAATGTTTTCACTTCTTGACTGTAAATGTCTTTGCTGACTTACAGCGATTGGTGGGTGTTCCTCCATCCCTCTGTCCACACATCTCTGCACTTCTTTCAGGCTCCTACAAGGCAGCCCCTGGGACTGTCTGGAATGTGCTGGGTCCCAGCAGATACAAAGACAACGTGTAGACGCTCTACCACCCTGTTGCAGAGCAGCTGCTATCCACACACGGCCAGTCCAAACTGAGAAAGAAGCTTATAAAACACCCCGCATCGTATCCAACAGGTATTCACTTGCAGAGAGCTGGCACAGAGCAGGGGTTCAGGACAAAGACACAAGAGCAGAAGGCCTGGACCTTAACCACAGTTCCATCAGGCCTGGCTGTGCGACCCTGGGCAGCTAAACTTAACCTCATCTATAAAATCAGAGTAACAATATTGTAGACATTATGAGGATTAAATGCACTAATAGTTTAAAAAACCATGAGAACTGGTATTTTGAAGGTGCTATTTCCTAAGTTAATAAAAAGAAAGAATGAACGAATAAACAATGAACACTTGCTGGGTTAAAAGTCTGAAGCAGTTGTCAGCTCCATCTTCATTAAGGGGTCCATTTTGCTCAATCTGAGCTGCCCAGTAAGTGGCAAGAGAAAAATAACCGCCACACCGTCACGTACACACAGGAACAGAGCTTGGCGTGGAGACACTTACTGCAGGGACCCTGAGCTGCTGTGATGACATCCACAATCTGTCTGTCCCTTCCTCTGGCACACAGGCCTAAAAGCGTTAGGAGGAGGCCTGCTAAACAATCTGTGAGACTAAAGTCACACTATAAACAGAGTGTTTCAAGTGAAGATGAACTGTGACACCAAAGGGTGAAAGACATTCTGGTTCTGCCTTCGATGTGTCCTTAGTGCTTACATCTTCAGAGACTCTTCTGTAACAACACAGACTTGCGTAGAGGGAGCAAACTGCTGGAGCCAAGGAGAGACATGAAGGTGGCAGAATGCAGCTCTCCCTACCTTTAGCGGGGCAGGTCCCAGGAAGCTGGGCTCGCTCCTGGGAACAACCTCTTAGTTACTGAGAAACAGAGACACTTGAAAACCACTGTGTGTGAAATTCATGGAATCTTCTTCTAAAGTTCTTTTTGTTGATTTTGTTATCCATTATTAGTTGGCTCCTGTTTGTACAAACAACGTTCTAGCCCAAGCCAAAAACAGCTGGCACTGGGGACCCTTCATACCACCATGTGATCCATAATGTGCTGCCACTTGGCAAATGCCAAGAATATTTTTTAAGCAAATCTGGCATCTATATGTGCCTGAAGGATGATAAGTGGAACACAAGAGAGTTAAATATAAAGTCTGGGGGACACCAGAGCACTGAATCAACATGGTGAGCACCTCGAGGGAAGCTACACAATTCTGTCTTTGTACTCCCAATACCCAGCTCCAAGCCTGGCACACAGTAGGGTCTTAATGTGTGGGCTGAGTGAGCGGGGCAGCTGGAAAAGAAGGGGTGACAGGAGGCCCTCCGCACCCCCACCGCAGAAAACCACCTGTACTCACCTCACCAGCGTCTGGTTGTGCAGGTCCCACACGGCAATGTTGCCGTCGCTGCAGCAGGAGAAGCAGACCTTGGAGTCGGGGCTGATGGCCAGGGCGTAGCAGGCGGGGGCGGAGGACGTCAGCTCTGCCTTGATGCGCGGGGTCGGAGCGGCCAGGTCCCAGATGGACAGAGTGCTGGCTTCCCCTCCCACTATCAAAGTGCAGCCATCAGGGAGCAATTTGCAGGAACGGATATAGTTATCTCTATTCTGTGAAATGAACATAATTCAATTGCTGTAATGTATTACACCAAGCAGTAACAATGCCATGTTCTGTAACAGCTATCTTGGTTTTGGACTTGAAAAGTGGTATTTCACAGACACTAACAAGCAAGAGTTTTGTAATAAAAATCAGGATCTGATTGCAGCTGTCTCTTTCAAAATAGTAAACAAGACAAACTCATAGGATTGCATGCTCAGATATAACTGTACTTCCTGTCCAGGTCTCCACTGAATAGACAGAAATGGAAGTATTGCTAGATGTACATTAGGGATACACATACATCTCTTTGAAGAAACCAGTTTTCAAAACTAGTTTATAAATCTTTGGTCGCATCATTCTCCACTACTTACTATATGGAACTGTAGAACCCCTGCCTATGTTCTTTTGGTTTTTATTACTCTTAACTGTACCTAAGGCTGGCACTGTGTCTTCATTAGCCAGATGGATCCTTGTCTAAGAATTTCACAGAGCTGCTTTCTCTGTAATATGGCTTCTGTCATTATTTATGTCTCTTAATCCAAAGGCCAAATGAATTGATAAAAGACAGCATCTCTCCATCAAAATCAACACATCTTAAAAAGGGAGGGGGGACCTAAAGTAACCCCTGCCCCTCACTGAGAGCAGTAACTGCTATCCTTCAGCCCAAATAGATACAGCTCAAATTTTCTACTGCGCTTTAACCACAGCCCATCACTCAATGATCAGAGAAACTTTAAACACATAAGTTTTTTAGAAAGGGTATGAATGCTACAAAAGACTTCTACTACCACAGATTTCTAAGCTGTGTGTTAAGTATGCTTAAGTTTCATTAATGGAAATAATTTTAAGTTATTTCATTGAAAAAACAAACCAATAACTATGCCCCCAAAAGTCTCAAAAATACTGCCATTCTTCTTTCTGGAAGCACGCTCTTCAGCGTCCAGGTAGGCAGTGAGTGAACAGCACCATCTGCAAATCCAGCGTGCAGGCAGACACCGTACCCGCGGTAGGGTGGCCTTTCGTCTGCCTCAGGCCACTGGTATGTGCTCTGTAAATCCTGGGGTTGAATTTAGAGGTTGAAACATGTCCCAGTGTGTTCTATGATCCTCAAAAATGCACAGTGGTATTCTCGCACTCTGGGAGGTGGATTGGGTACCTTGGGAAAGCATTCCCACCAGCTGTTTTGCTGATGGCTGCCCTGATTTCTTGCAGTGTGATCTATTAACCCTTTCCTGAAGTTCAGGTAATAAAACCCAGCCAGCTCCTCTAGGCCTCTCTGAAAACACAGACCCTGTTCAGAATGGTTTTAATGCCCTGATATCAAATGTTTACTATTCAATATTTATCCGAAGGCTGCAGGGAAATTAAAAGTTGAGTGGATTGCAAGGCTCAGAGTCCAGGGCTAGCTGAGCTTTCGTCCATTAAATGGGAAACCTCCTTTTGAATACACATTCAAACAAGGACAGCTTCTGTAAAAGACTCTAAAAAAAAATTTTTTTTTTAAAGAAATCCATCATGGGATTTAACCGCTGAAAGAGCAACAAATGAAACTTCATATTTAAGGGAGAGGGGTGGGGGAGCTAAATAGCCAACACAGGAAACAGAATGGGCTTCCATTTCCTCATAATGGGAATAAAACCCAGGCCCGGACAGCTATTTCCTTATTGAGTCTCCAGGGAGAAATTACCCTTGTGCACCAGTTCCTGTTCACTCACCAGACAGTCGAGCTGAGAGACAGGGCTCTTATTGCCGGGGTGGCTGATGTCCCAGACCTTGACGCAGCCCTTCCCACCCGTGTACACGTGTCTCGTGGGGTTGCTGATGGTCACGGCGCACACCACCTCCCCATGGTTCAGGGTGTTGATCTGGCGAGCGTGCCGGGGGATGCCGGGGCCAATGAGGGCGTCGGGGGGGAAAGGGACCGGCTGCATCTGCCCATCTGCCGTCACGTGGAAGGAGTATGCACTTTTGGACAGGGAATGATTGGAGAGAAGAGAGAATGACATGAGACGAAACAGAAAAGACATTTCTCATAAAGCAATTAATCACAACCTCAGCACGCTTCTATGAGAAAGACGAAAGGAAAGACTCGCTTGTTATGGTTTCCTTTTAAAATCAATGTAAGTTGAAGTATTTACTGATGGAACAAATTTAAAAGAGTAATAGAAATCTAAGGTGTACCAAAAGACACATATTTTGAACTGCATTTAAAAATTTTTAATTGTGTTTATCCATTCTGCAAAGCCCTCCTTCAAATCCCATTATAAAAATACTAAATGTGCCTCCAAATTAACATAAAATCACTCCATCCAAGTACCTTATATAACTGTTTCATTCTTTGAATAACTTAAAATAATTACTTTTTTAAAAAGATTTTATTTATTTTTAGAAAGAGGGGAAGGAAGGAACACAGAGAGAGAGAGAAACATCGATTCAAGAGATGAACATCGATCAGGAGCTTCCTGCACCCCCAGCGTCCCAACCAGAGACCAAGCCTGCAACCCAGGCACATGCCCTGACCAGGAATTGAACCGGCGACCTTTTGGTTTGCTGGACAACGTCCAACCAACTGTGCCACACTAGTCAGGGAAAATTGATTATTATTGGTGTTTATGACTACAGCTTAAGAACTCATAATAATTACAAACAGTAGCAGTGTATCACAACACTAATGAACAAAAACAGCTTTCTAAAGGTACCAGTTTAAGTCTTGAATTTAAGCTCTGTTTTGCATAATCAAGAAAAAATAAGAGAGATTCTTTTAGGTCAAATGGCTTTGTGACAGAAATTTCAAGTTTCCTCCTCAACAATCTCCCTGTGTACCTTGACCACAAACTCCAGTAAAGCTCTCAGCTTCCTTTCAGCCAGGTAAGGGTTCTGACTAAAGAGATCTAGCCAGAAGATGCTGGGTGGTACTTAGAGAAAGTTCTTAACCCAAAACAAAGTGACCCTGTGGGAGATTTATCTGTACTTTCCACTCAATTTTGCTGTGAGCCTAACACTGCTCTAAGAAATAAGTTTATTAAGTAAAGAAACAAAAAAAGAGTTTACAAGGGGGGAAGGGACTGTGCCTGCCCTCTCCTCTTCCGCCTTCCCGAAATATGAACAAAATGACTGGTGCTACAGCAGCCTCTGGAACCAAAAGGTGACTCTGAAGATGGAAATCATTGCGGAGGGAGGCAGAACAGAAAGAGAAGATGCAGAGGCCTTGGTGGCATGACGGGAGAAATACACTTTATTTTCGCCCTATATCCAAACTGATGCAATTATGTGTGTGGCACTGAAGACCACTTTCATTTTCTTCTTGTCAGAAGTATCCCTAAGTGATCCAGAAGTTCAACATTAAATCTTCTCTATATGTGCACATACATAAACAATAAATGAAGTATAGAGAATTTCCACTTTCCCATAACCCTCTGTGATAAATCTGGGCACTCTCAGGAACTTGTCACTGGCAGCTTGCAGTCCCTTTACAGATCTATAGATCATAGGTATTAACGTGTTGAGTCCACACGACATTTCAATACATGGACATTATATAGTTAATGCCATTTACTATATTTGAAATCAAATGGCATTTATTGCCTTTGAAGATGAGAGCAGAAGAATGGGGTTTAAGTCGATTCATGTCCTGAGAATTATTTGAGGTCCAGTATCAAGTTATATAACCCAGACATTAGGCACCCTGTGACCTGGGTCTGAATATAACAAACAACCAAGCAAAGCTGAAGAAATGAACAATCGACTTGATAATATTGTAATAACTACGTATGGTGTCAGGTGGGTACTGGAAACATTGGGGGGAACACTTTGTGAAGTATATGACTGCCTGACCTGAAACTAATATAAAATAATATTGCATGTAAGCTGTGATTTAAAAAACAAAAACAAAAAAACCAAAACCCTGAAATTGAATGTTTTTTGGGAGAATAGTGGTTGACATTGAGAGAGAACCTGCCTCTCCACGTTATCTGTGCTGTGAGAATAATGGCAAGTGTGAAGGTTAATGTCTGTTTGCCATCAATCAGCTTCCACATAGGTGAAGATTCCATCAGGAGCCCTTTTAGCAATTCTGGATTTTCGGGGGAAGGAAATTTCTTCTTGCTCCCACGGGAATCCTGCTTATTTTAGAGTTAAATGTTCCAGATCAAAATAGATGCACATGGTACAGACAGAAAGCTGTACTGTCGTCTCTGGAAGATACCATGTCTTTCCCAGGTGTCCTCTTTAAACTGCACAGGAGGTCTGTGATCATCATTCTGAAGCAATTTAAAATTGATTCGCAGTGCACTGAACTGCTGCCGGAAGCTGTGAACACTCGTCCGCCCCAGGGGAGACCCATATGGATGTTAATACATTAGTCCTAGGGGGCCTCCTGGCCTCCCAGGGAGCTGGCACTGCCTGCTGTGCTGGGAGCCTAATCAAATGAACAAACCCGAATGACGCAAGGGGTGGACAGGTCTCAAAAGAGGGAAGTCAACTGGAAGCAAAACCAGGGGAACAAACTAGACGTTTTAGAATTAGTTATTTGCCTTCAGGACGAACAGGACCATCCTTGAGAAAAGGCCACGCTGATGGCACACCATGACAATGTTAAGGAGATCCAGAAGAAAGCTTACCTTCACTACTAAAAGGTAAAATCAACCAGGGAGGGGAATTTACAAACAGAGAATATTTATAAGTAGCCCTCAAACCTGAATTCAGAATGAGGCTAGTCACAAAAGAATGCATACGGTGACTGCATGTACAGAAGTTCAATCTTAGGCAAAATCCAAAATCTGAGTGAGTGGTGATCACCTTGGACAACTGGGAGGGACATGTGGCAGGCTTCTAGGGCGCTTTTGGTGAAAAGTCACTGAGCTATACACATAAGGTTGATGCACTTTCCTCTATGTCTTTATCAATAATTAAAATCTTATATTCTCTTGTTTATTCAAGAAAAAAGTTGAGGGGAGGGCTCCTGGCGGAAGACTATGTTAAATCAGGTCCACAGCGAAGTCGAGATCCCAGACTTTGGTGTAAACGAACCTGAGACATGAAACCCTGGCTTGCTGGTCTTGCTGGTCTTGCTAACTGGATCTTCCTAGTCAGCCTAACAACCTGAGGCCTGCCATGTGTCTGTCTGGCTGATCTACAAGGTACAAATAATATGAAAATATAAGAGTGGGAGAGGTTGTTATAAAGGATTAAAAGTGGTAACAGCTGCAAAACTGCAGAACACTAACACAGTGCTTGACACCTGCAGGGGCCGTTAGGCAATGAGTGTCGATACTAAACACTAATGGCTTTAAAAGAGGAAAGAGGCAGGTTGAAACAAGGATTCTTATCTGGACCAGTGGACAAGGGTGAGGGTCAGGAAGCACAGGGCAATGAACAGGCATGAAAAGTCAGGAAGTTCAAAGACACAGGAGGGTGGCACTTAGAAAAGAGAAGAGGGGAATGGTTGGATAGGATGTGGCAAACTCCAGGGCAGAAAGAATAGTCCATGGAGCCCTCATTAGGGCGACTCTGCTAGGGCCACCCACCTGTATCCAAGAAAGAGAACAGAGCCCCAGCCCCACCCAGTTTTTTGAACCAAACATTTGCAGATCAGGATCTCAATGTGAAATCTGGTTGCAGAACTGAAAAGAATAAAGCCCACTGGACAGCACAGACTGAAACACTGAATGGAATCACACATGCTCAGAGCAGGAGATTCTTCATTTACTGGGTACACAGCACAGGAGGAAGAACTCAGAGTTCCCACCCCACAGGGGTTCCTCACGTCAGTGGCGGCAAACTGAAAACAACACTGTGTTCGGGGAAGCAGGTTGTTTTTTCCTGGCAGGCTGGCTCCTGTTAATAAAACTATGCTGTGTTCTGTGGCCAAAGGAAAACAGGTGTTTACAGAGTTATTGGTTTGCTGTAAATAGATAGGAACAGCAGCAGCAGAATCTAGTCAACAGTAATGAAGGACCACGGATCCCAGAGATAATGGCTGAGGCCAAGACTCCGCTGCCTGCAGACTTGGCATGCTTGACGTGTGATTTCTCGCTGTGTTAACAGGCATCAAAAATCTGATCATGTCAAATACCCCAACCCACTCTTCAAGCTCTTCAGAGACCAAGCCCTTCACAACTGAGCCTCATTTCATACGACTGTTCGGTCCTAAACTCCCAGCCATGTGGAAAAGCCAGTCCCCTCAAATATCACGGGCTGTCACATCTCCACATTGTGCACAAATGGTTCCCTCCTGCCTAGAATAGCACCGCCTCCCTCGGAAGTGCACTCACTTCCTCCCTTTCTCGCCTGCTACAACCTCCCCAGGTAGGATGGTTCTTTTCCTATTAATCTCGACTATGGCATGGTGCTCACACTGTGGACTATTTACTGCACGCACATACTTTTCTGTCTATCTCATTCCAGAATCTTCAGGGACAGGTGGATGCCTTCACCAGCTAGCATATAGCTGGCAGTCAGTAAATGAACCCAAACACCCCAGCTTGTTTACTCTCCCCAATCACTCATAAATTGAGGTGCGCAAGGTTGCTCTGGCAAGGAAAGTCAGCTCTGACCAGAACGTGCAGAGTCTGCTGACCCCCTGGGTTATGTCAGCCAACTTTTCCCAAGAAATTTCCCATAGTTGCACCCAATATCGCTAAGAGATGCTATCGACTTTCCCAACGGGGTGAAAAGCAGTCCCTTGAGAGCTGATTTGAACCAAAATGCACTGAAAGCAACTACAGTAAAGGAGTAGAATTCAAGCCAGCAGAACCCAGTGGATGCGGGAGCCTTCCAAAGCAAGGTGAGGCAGGAGCAGCCACAGGTCATGTACAGCAAGTTCAGTCCTGCAGCTGGTTGCTGAAAAGAATGCAGTAAACTACAAGTGAGGAGACACAGGTTAGAGACTCAGTTTAGTCACTAGTAAGATATGGGGATCATATATAACGTACTTGGACATCATTCCCTACTTTTACAACGTGCCA